AAGGGTCTATAATTTTTTATCATAGCTGTATTTTAAATGATAGAGACAGAATATCAAACAAAAATCCAGAAAAAACACATGATACAAATGTTATAAATTGAGTTGCAGTTCTGTGAGTATATTAAGTATTTGATCCCCTACCAACAATAATTCTGGCTCCCACAGACTGGAATTGTGCTCATGTGGTACACAGATTAGTCCTGTAAATTTAAGAAGGTGCTCTTAACGACAACTCTTTAGGTGTATAAAAGACACCTGTCCACAAAATCTTTCTTGGGCACCTTCATGGACAAGACCAAAGATCTTTCAAAGGATGTTAGGGACACGATTGTAGCCCTGCACAACGCGGAATGGGCTACAAGTCCATCAGCAAAAAGTTTGGTGACAAGAAGACAACTGTTGGAGTGATTATTCGCAAATGGAAGAAATACAAAGTAACCATGAATCCCCCTCGGTCTGGAGCTCCATGCAAGATTTCGCCTCATGGGGTTAGGATGATCACGAGAAAAGTGAGGGATCAGCCCAGAACCACATTGGAGAAGCTTGTGCATGATCTCAAGGCAGTTGGGACCACAGTCACCAAACAAACAATTGGTAACATAGTACACCTCCATGGATTGAAATCCTGCAGTGCATGCAAAGTCCCCCTCTAGAAGGCTCATGTTCATTTGCAAACTTCAGACGGGCCTGTACATCTAAATGATTCAGAGAAGGATTGGGAGAAAGTGTTGTGGTCAGATGAGACCACAATTGAGCTCTTTGGCATTAACTCGACTCGCCATGTTTGGAGGAAGAAAAGTGCTGATTATGACCCTTAGATCACCATCCCTACAGTCAAGCACGGAGGTGGAAACATTATGCTTTGGGGCTTTTTCTCTGCCAAAGGTACAGGTTGACTTTGCACATTGAGGGGCCAATGGATGGAGGCATGTATTGTAAAATACACTGAAGATGGGTTGTGGATGGGTCTTCCAACAAAACATGCCGCCAAGGCAACAAAGGAGTGGCTCAGGAAGAAGCACTTTAAGGTCATGGAGTGGCCTAGCAAGTCTCCAGACTTTAATCCTATAGAAAACTTATGGAGGGAGCTGAAACTTTGAGTTGCCATGTGACAGCCAAGCAACCTTAAGGATTTAGAGAACATCTGTAAAGAGTGGACCAAAAACCCTCCTGAGATGTGTGCAAACCTGGTATCCAACTACAAAAAATGTCTTACCTCTGTGCTTGCCAACAAGGGTTTCTCCACCAACTACTAAGTCATATTTTGCTTGGGGATCAAATACTTATTTTACTCACGGAACAACTCAATTTATAACATTTATATTGTGTTTTTTCTGGATTTTGTTTGATATCCTGTGTCTATCATTTAAAATACCCCTATGATAATAATTATAGATGCTTACTTTTTTTGAGTGGGCAAACTTACAAAATCTGCAGGGGATCAAATAATTATTTTCCTCACTGTACATGGAGCCTGCAAGGGTGAGCAGATGGCTTAGTTATTAATGAGGTATGTTGTACTTGAATAATCTATGTAGCATTCTTCTCTGAGTAGAGGGTGAATGAAGACCTGCTGCTGGGGGAAGGTGGCTTCTTGACTCCCTGGCTATACAGGAAGTGGTTTCGTTCCACCCAGAGCAGAGTGACGGGGGGGGGGGGGGTTAATTTACTTTTTTTTTTTTTTTTTAAATCTGTAGTTGGACATTAGTTACCATCTAGGTATAGCTCTACTTGCATGTTGAATTGTTACTTATGTCAAAGTGGATCTCTGGAAAAATAAAATATATAAATGCAAGAGAGATGTATTCTTACCTGAACCTTGATGCGCTTTGTGTATTTCTTCCAGATCTGTGCAGTAATATAGTGTGAAACTTTACCTCTGTGCAGAAACCTCATGTAACAAAGACCGTTCACTGCTGGTCTCTCCTTGTGCAGGGTGACTGGTCTTGTCTCTGCCCCCTCTGGGTACCTCTCCCAGCTCTGTTTTCAACATAGGCTATGTTCAGTACAGGGATGATGTCAGTACTACTTTTGCAAGGTATTATCTTGGTTCCATAGAAATGTGGAGATTTTTTTTGGCAATTTAGGGGTAGATTTAGTTAAGTTTTTGTTCTCAGACTTCAGCTTTAGCCCACACTGGAGCCTCACTGACCTTCAAATGCTATTTATGATGTCCTTTACTACGACCATTAATCTGGAACTACACTTAATTTTTTTTCATCAGAAGAGAGGCTGGTGTTCAATTGCTGTCTGTTTAAAACATGTTGGTGACATCTCTGACCCTTGTTGGCTCAGTTGGCAAAGTCCCTGAGGGGTTATTTACTATAAAAGGCAATGTTATCCTAACTGTAAAGTGGTTGTAAACCTCAGACATGAAACATGAAATATCTCAATCCAGGGCACTAAGTGTCATTTCTGGCTGTTGCCCCTTTCCTCTGCTATCAGCAATAGTCACATCTGAACAGTTTTCCTGACACCAAGAGAAAAGTGGTGACGGGAGGGAGCTCCAGCAGACTTATAGCTTCAGCTCTGTTCCTGTGAGCTGTGTGGAGATGGGTGTGTCTCTGTCCTTCAATCAGCTCTCAGAGCTGTCCTCACCAAGCTCTACAGAGAATAGCTTCAGCTCCCCCCCCCCCCCTTTTTTTTTTTTCTTTTTCTTTTTTTTTTTAATCTCTCAGACAAGCTTTATAAATTCAGAACTTTGAACTGAAGTAGAAAAGAGATTGCTGCAGATGAACAGGTATAATTTACAGTATGTAGGAGGATTTGTTTCATCTTGGTGTATAACTTGAGGCCAGTCACTTCACTGGGTACAGTATTTGTAAGAGTTTATAACCCCTGTAACCACCTTCCGCCCACCATATTGGGAAATGATAAACGGGCGGGAGCGCTTTTGTTCTGGGAGGATGTCATATGACATCCTCCCACTCTTGCATGTGCACCCCCTGGGGCACGCGACGATCGTTGGTGCGCTGTGTCCTTCGGATACAGTGGATCAGCGATTGCGGTAAAAAGATGACGACGTAGGCTCATTACAATGTGATCAGCTGTGTCCAATCACAGCTGATCACATGTAAACCAGAAATGCTGGTTATCAGCAGTCCTCTCCTCATGCTAACCGCGCATGTGGAGAGGAGAGCCGATGAGTGGCAGTCCTCATAGGGGACATCTACACTGATAATCGGGGCACTGATCATCAGTGCAGTCCCATCAGTGTTGCCTTGCAGTTCCCATCATTGCCCATTAATGCAGCCTATCAGTGACCATCCTTGCCGCCTATCAGTTCCACATATCAGTGCTCATCAGTTATGCCTGTCAGTTACCCATTAGTGTTGCCTATCAGTTTCTCCTCATCAATGCCATCTATCAGTGCCACCTCATCAGCACACATCAGTGAAGGAGAAAAATTGCTTATTTACAGAATATTTTTAGAAAAGAAACTATGAAAAAGCTTTTATTTTTTAAAGGTTTTGGTTAATAAATAAAAAAAAAATCCCAGTGGTGATTAAATACCACCAAAAGAAAGCTCTGTCTAAAAAAAAATAACAATTTTGTTTGGGTACAGTGTTGCATAACTGCACAATAGTCATTCAAAGTGTGACAGCACTGAAAGCTGAAAATTGGCCTGGACAGGAAGGGGGTGAAAGTGCCCAGTAGACAAGTGGTTAAATACCCAGTCAAGATCTGGTGAAATCTGTATTTTAAATTCTCCTGCACCCGTTTTGATGTTTAACCACTTCAAGTTCGGACACTTTCACCCCCTTCCTGTCCAGGCCAATTTTCAGCTTTCAGTGCTATCACATTTTGAATGACAATTGCGTGGTCATGCAACACTATACCCATAATAATTTTTTTGCATTTTATTGAGACAGATAAAACTTTATTTTGGTGGTATTTATTCACCACTGGGATTTTTATTTTTTTGCTTTATAAATGAAAAAGTCCAAACATTTTGAAAAAAGTGTATTTCTTTTGAAAAAAGTGTTTTTCTTATAAAATAATCTTTCTTCATAAATCTTGGCCAAAATGTATTCGGCTAGCTTTTTAGTAAAAAAAAAAAAAAAAACCCAATTTAGTTTATAATCAAAAATTATAATTTAAAAAAAAAGTTTTACATTTTATTTTTTTAATATTTGGGTTTTTTTTAACATACTGTCACCCTAGCAGTACAGTGTCACCGTAGTGATGAAGATTTTTTTTTTTTTACTCTGATTGCTTTTACACCCATAAAGACTGTAAAAGCAATCAATTCTCCTTCTCTCAGCCATTGAGAAATACTGTGAAAGCTGGGATTGGTCACAGCTTGTCACATGGTACAAGGGTGTTGTGAATAGCCTTGTACCATGTGACCTCTTTGATCATTCACTAAGTAAGCAATGTCACGAGGAAGTGACATCTTGTTTACTACTATTCATGTGATCACTGATTGGCCAATCAGTGATCACATGATCAGGACCTCACACAGAGGTCCCATACAGCGTTTGGTGTTCCGCTGTGTCCAGAGGACGCAACGGGCACTGGATTGCGGTGCCGCACACACAGTGAATGCGGAGGCTGTTTATAAACGGCCACCCGCTCCTGCACTGCTCCCATCCTGTTTGTGTACATGGGCCGGACGGGAAGTTTTTAAGTTGGGCTAATTTACTAAAGTAAACACTGACTGCCCAACATTAAGTTCTGGTTCTTTATATACTTCTGTAGATAATCCATTAGGTGTAGTTGACACCCATCTACAAAAAGCCTGTCAGCCATTCCTGAAATGTTGTGTTTTGTCAGGTAATTTGGGAGAAGAGATTAGACGTGACATTTTCTTAATTCTAATGGTCAGTTTAATGTAATGAAATAGCACTTGAATAATGATTTGATAGTAATTGAAAGTTGACTTCTAAACCTAAACTAAAAATTGCAAATGTGTAATTTACGTACTGCAGTGTCAATGTTAAAGACTACAGTATAATAGCTGTCTTTTAATTATATGTTTATTCCTAATGTCTTCACAGCATGGTGGAATTTACGTTAAGAGGAGTGCTAAGTTTAATGAGAAGAATATGAGGAACAAGTTGAAATCTCAGATGAAGGCTGAGACGAAGGTAATGTATACAAATACATGCACATAATCAATTTGTGGCTATATATTTGTTATTTCGGGGAAACATTACCTTATGTAGACTTGAAATATCTGTTTTAGGAGATAGGAGGAATCTTCATGAAATAGCTACTGCTTTTAAAAAGAGGGCTGGTTATTAATCACCTTCACTAACTGTTAGGCCACAAACCTATTATTTTTTTTGTCCATATGATAGCTAAAGAGAAGGAACATGTGTTTTTTCTTTTTACTACATGTTTTCATTATAATTGAAATGCCATGAAAATCAGCTTTGATATCTGAGTAATGTAATGTTCTGTAGTGCTTTAGGGTTGAATTTCCCCTGCAATTACTGCTGATGTTTACTGTGTAATACATATGCACTACTCTTACATCAATATTCTACTCAGAGAAGTGTGAATGTGCCTGTAAGCGGCTCCTGGGGTAAATGTTTTGTATAATGTGAATGTAAAGTGATACTGTCAAAGCAATTTCCTCTCTAATGTACATGTATGACACTGGGAAGACCTTTTATAGCTGTGTAGCAGTGCCACAGGGAAGTTTCAGGCATAGGCAAGACTTGAATACCACCCTGCTATCTTCTTGCACCTTTTAGCTGAAAAATGCATTAAATTTTGAATAGAAAATTGGTCTTCATTCCCTGAAGACAGTTGATAGTGTATGCATGTAAAATTATATTTCTTAGTCATACAGTACAGACACCGGTTCTTTAATCATACCAACTGGATTATAGGCAGATACCTTCATGTAATTGGACAATGGCAAAAATATAGGGCTGCAGGGACAACTCCACTAATATAATTCTTTCCACTCACAACTAGCCTCTGTTTTCTGCTAGTGTCCTTAGGTGATGAACATTTAATCTCTACAGAGAGAAGCTTACCCTCATACTTTGGAGGTCTCTCTCTGTCTCCCCAAGCTGATTCTTATATCAAGATTCCTGCTGCACTCTAGTCACTGCAGCTACTTCTGCAATGAAAATATTGGTTGACTCATCAGTAGAACGTTGGGGGACCAAACCTGGACCCCTCTGGATGGTGGAAGCGGGCCCTGCCTGTAATGTTGCTTACATGCACTGGATTCTGAAGTAGGCATCCTTAGCACATAGTGCAACACATGGGGCAGTGTGCTTTACAGGTCTAGGGCCTCGGTCTGCTGGTGGTAGAGCCCTGTCCCTGAAGACCCAGATATATGCATATTGTGGAAGCTGATGCCAAGATGGGGTAATTCCCCTTTTGATCTTGCTTACAGAACTTATTTATACAGCGGTACGTACAGGGTGTAGCAGACCTTTGAGGATGTAGGAAGTGCAGAATCTGCCTGCCTGTCTCCTGTCTTGCAAACATTTTTGGATCAGCCACTGACAGCTGCTGCTGTTTGAACACAGTGGGGAGCATTTATCAAAACTCAAGTTGCCAGAATCTGGAGCAGCTGTGCATTGTAACCAATTAGCGCCTATCTTCAGCTTGTTCAGGTAAGCTTCAAAACTGACAGGCTGACTCGTTAACATGCACAACTGCTGCAGATTTTGGCTTTTCCTGTTTTCACACATTTCCCTCAGTGTGTGCACGCAACACTTAGAACCACTGGCAGCAATCAGTAGATTTTCAGCAATGATTCTAAAAACTGCATGCACATACTGTGTGCAGTGTGTGCGCAAACAGCAGCAGCTGCTAAATTATTATTCTGTACATATCAATGGGTTGGGCAACCAATGCCTCATACAAATAGAGCCTTCAACCGCCCAGGACGCCTTTTGTATGACCATGTGAAAGTCAAGGTAAACTGCGAATAGACACCCCTCTTTTATAGCTAATCTGTTATGAGAAAAAGGCAGGGGCTGCCTCTTCCCACTTGTCTCTGGCTTCTGCCCTTCTTGTATCACAAATTGGGGGGAAGCTTACATCAAGTGAAGTAAGAGCACTAAATCTTTATAGTTTTTTCAGGTCTATGACTTGGGTATTATTAAAGCCCAGAAGGTCAATATTACAGTCAAGCAGCTAGCAATTTAAGGAGTTCAGTAATGGCAGCCTATGTATTTGGGTTTTTAAGCCCCTATTTTATGCAGTGTTTACATTAATCTGTCCACCCCTGTACCAGAGGTACTATGAATGGAACATAAACTTCTACATTGACCCCACAATTTAAAAAGCAATAACTATATTTAAGACCTGGAAGCACAGCAATTGCATATTGTTTTGTTGTTGCTGTGGTTACAATTTTAGCTGCCGGGTGTTCGCCATTATCTATTGACCGGAGTGAATCCACAGTATGTTTGTTTTTTTCAAATTATGAAATAATAAAGCTTAACGTTAACACTTTTAGCTGGCTGTGCTTTCTCTTATAAATCTACTGTAATTTTTATAGCTGAAGAATTGTTGAGCCAGATGACTTTTCCCATGACTTCCCCACAGCAACTAAAGTCTTCACATTATTTTACTTGTATTTGATTTTTTTTTTTTTAGTGTCATAGTCATCTGTGGGCTTTGCTGGGTTTTTTGTGCATCACTTGACAACATTTGATAAATCCCAGTTGTTTTAATTTCCCTAATAATAGTGTGTGAGTAACTCAGAGTAGCCGAGGCTTAACTTGAAATCGTGGAAATGTTACTTATTCAATGGCCCCAGGATCTGGCTGAAAGCAAAGGGCTTTACATTTGGCACACATCTTATGAAGTCAACTTTCATGGTGTCAGCAAGACATATTTTACATCATAATTAATAAAAAAAATGTTTTAGTAATATGTTTGTCTCTCAAAACTGTCTTAAATGGTTTTTTCCAGAGTTAAGTCACCCTTTTACTTTGTACTGCAAAGACTAAGGGAATTGTATCTTTTTTCTAAATATTATTTTTTTGGCTTTGATTTGACCTTTTATTAACTACTTGCTGACTGGCAACCATAAATTTACTGTTGGTTGGTGGCTCCCCCAGGCACCACAACATATTCGTATGGCGCTCAGCTCATGCGTTTTAGTGTGCCCCCTAGGGCGTGCAGGGATTCCCTGTGCAACCGATGTGTCCACCGGACAACAAACCAACAAATTTAATTGAAGACCATGTTGCAAAAATAAATACACCCCAATGAAAGTTTTAAGATCAAATCTAACTTTTAGTAAACAAAATCCTAACTAATGAATTAGACTCACATGTAGTTAAATTCTTGCCAAACAGGTGTCTAGCAGACCGTTGATTATAAAAGGGCATTGCTTAACAAAGAAAACCCCTTCCCATTTCATGCTGTCAGCAATGGCAACACATGGAAGAGAAATGTCACAAGGCCTGAGAAAGAAAATCATTTACTCAAGAAGATTAGCAAAGCTTTACTTAGTCAGAATACTGTAGCGAAAGGTGAGGAGTACAAAGAAAAATGCATGGTGCCTACAGTGAAATATGGTGGTGGCAGTGTCCTTCTGTGGGGCTGCATGAGTGCTGCTGGTGACATAGAGCTGCATTCCATTGATGGTATCATGAATTCACAGGTGTACTGCTCTATATTGAAAGAGAAGTGCTACCATCACTCCATGCCCTTGGTCATCGTGCACTTTTTCCAACATGTCAATGATCCAAAACATGCATCTAAGGCCACTGTTGCATTTTTGAAGAACAGGGTGAAAGTGGTTCAGTGGCCAAGTATGTGTCCTGATCTGAACTCAATCGAACACCTATGGGGAATTCTGAAGTTGAGCATCACTCTCCAGCCAGCATCCAGGCTCTAAAAGAGGTCGTTCTTGAAGAATGGAAAATGATATATGTTGCGAAATGTCGCCAACTTGTTCATTCCATGTCTAGAAGCCTTAGTGCTGTTTTTACAAATCATGGAGGTCATACAAAATACTAGATGTAGTAGTTTTTGTTGTGGGGTACTACAAATAGAAGTTATAATCCCCCTGCGCTCCCCTGGTAGTAATATAAACGGTAAATATTTTATGAAAGCTACTACCACCTTTTACCTTTATACCTGAGGATACACAATATACTATAATGATGGTGAAGCGCTACACATAAATGATAATCGGTGTGTATACCCACAATCCTATATATCTACATTGCATTAATAGATCACAAAAAATGTGATATATAGACAAACCATGCATATATATGAAATATAACATTCTGGATGGTGCTTCTAAATCATGCTTAAAATAAAGGATATCTGGTGATAAAGTGCAAGAAGATCGGTCAATATATGACCTATTAAAAATGTGCCAAAAGGGAACCCTCAATGGGGTAAAACAGATAAGAGGATAAATATATCACACACTCTATTGTAAAGTGACAAGTGCTCAGGCTGCAGACACGATAAGTGTATGCATCTATACAGCAAAGTGGTAGATCAAAAGTCCACAATTAGGTGCAAAAAATAGTGCGTTGATGTGCAAAAATAGGCAATAGTAGTGCTTCAATTTTCCACTCCAAGCATGATGCGTGCTTGTGTGACACACGTGTGTATCACTATCCCAAAATGGCTATAGTGCCTCCTCACCTCCTTGCGGCGACCTCTAGGGGCCACAGCACTTTTAGCAATAAGTGCTCCACAGCACTGGGGATCACAGATAACTGGCTCCTATGGTTCCACTCAGCCTCGATTTTCCCCTCAGGTGATGGTCACAGAGTCAGGAATATTGTAAGGCCATAGAGAGGTAGACAAAGAGAGCCTCCATAGTGTAGTATGATTTATTTATATAACAGGTAAGTAAGCCAAAAAGGACACTCACAGTAAGCAGATACAGCTCAGCGGTTTCCCATATGCTGTGGGTGTACTGTAGGTCCCTGGGTGTCCAAAGATGGCGCCTACCAGAAATGCATCACCGCGCTCTAAGGTTACTCCACGGTACCACGTGGCTTCATCATCCTGGCGCATTTCCGGTAGACGCACTTCCGGTAGATGCCATCTTTGGACACCCAGGGACCTGCAGTACACCCACAGCATATGGGAAACCGCTGAGCTGTATCTTCTTACTATGAGTGTCCTTTTTGGCTTA